TTTCAGCTCACTAATGGCTAAGATATTGATGTTTATGTGTTCCGTTTCATTTTTGACAACTTTCAATTTTCCCAGATTCATACTTCATACATTCCATGTTCCATTTGTCAATGGATGTTTATAGCTCTTTGTCTTCATTTTGAGTTGTGCCCCATCAGCAGATGAAAGTCCCGAAGGCTTTTCTCCCTTGGGCTTTACTCCATTTGCATCATCACGGCCAACTCTACTTTGAGGAGGCAGCTCTTCCCCAGTCGTAATTTGAGTGCCTTCCAACCTGAGAAGCTCATTTTCTGGCACTGTATCTGACAGTGTTTCTCTGCTATTCATAAGGTTTTCAGTGACTAAATATTTGGAAGTAGTTTGTCACTCCCTCTTCCAGTCTGTCTTTGTCTGGAAGCTCATCTGAAACCTGTCCACCATGGGTGACCCTGCTGGTATTTAAAATACTTGTGGCATAGCTTTCAGAATCACAGCAACTCACAAACCACCACAGTACAACAAACTGACAGACGAGTGATGGAAAATTAGCTTAAGGAAACTAAATAAATACCAATATTTGTTCATAATATTCAAAGATATCTCTATATTAATAACAATATCAGGAATAGTGACACTGTGTTCAGGCTAAAGTTTATTCTTTATTATATGGAGATATTTTTCCTATATAAATGCAAGTTATAAAATAATCAGTGCATTCAAAATGAAGATTCTCAGGGCTAATTTTCTGTATGACTGATAGATCCTGTTTCTGCTTCTAACATTCATCCGAAATTTTAGGTATATACAGACTAAAATAGTCACTAAAATCAAACACAATTTTGCATGTAGCAGGCATTTTATCTCCTTTAAAACTTTCTTTACCAGTAATGGAAGGTAAGAGGAAATATTGCTATAAGGATATATAAAGTTAGTTAAGAGGATTAACTAGGAAGGGATGCTAATGTAAGGAGAAATGGATAGCTTCAGGTAATTTGAAACCTGAGAAAATAGGATTCAAGAAATCATATATCTCTGGGCACTAGAACCAGAATAGTCCACTCCCCTGAAAAATTGGTATATATGAATAAGAAGTCAAACTGAATTTGGGGTTCCACCTCTTTTCTTTTTGCAAGTTGTACGCTTTTTCTTACCTTGCTCGATGAGGACATCTATGATTATATTAAACCTATCTTTCATTTATCTAAGCCTCTGGTCCTTCTATCTTCTTCCATTAAAAGGAAGTGTATGAAGCCTTCCCAATTATTTGGAAGAATAGCAATGCCATCTAGGGATGATAATTATAATTCAACTGTGGCAATGACATCATGCTTGTAGTCTTCCTCAAGCCCATTATTTTATTGTTTCATGGTCTTTATCCTGTCTTAAAATTTAATGAAAGCTGCCTCTTCTTTCATACAACAACTGTAAGTGTCAATTGCTGATATGTATTTAAATTAATATGCTAGAATAATTGGTAATACGAGTACATAAATTATGTGAAAGCAGAAGGAATACAATAAAGGAGAAAGAGATTGCTACCCTTGGAAATAAAATATGATGGCCCACATTCATTGAGCATATTTATTGTGTCCTTCTTGAATGATGTACATTGTACTAAACACTTGTAATCTTTATAGTACTTGATCTCACATCAACATTTATAATTTAGAGCATTCATCTAGTTCTTCCAAGGTAAGGAAGTTCCTCTTGCCATTAATTAGTTTTGAAAAGGATGTGTGCCTTAATTCAAGTTGATATTGGATATCTTCTGAATGAATCCATGGAAAGTTTATCTTTGGTTGTTGTTGTTGTAAAGTGCTGTCTAGTATGTTTTGACTCATAGCGACCATATGAACAACAGAATGAAACATTGTCTTTCCTGATTAGAGAGACCAAATAGAAGCAGTTAGTTATCTGACTCTGGTTATTATGTCAGAAATAACCCCTGTGTTACAACAGGCATAGACCATCAGGAAAACCACTTTAGGAAGAAAACAACACATGAATCTGTGAAATGGGTCCCTTTGGTTTTGTATGGAAATATTTGAGTATTAGTTATTTGAAGTTGCTATAACAGAAATAGGAGTCCTGGTGTGGTGCTGTGGGTTAATGCACCAGACTGCAAAAACATTTGAACTGCAAGGTCGGTGGTTCAAGCTCACCAGCTGCTCCTTGGAAACCCTACACAGGGTCACTATGGGTCAGAACTGACTTAATGGCACTTAATAACAACAACAATAACAGAAATAACACAACGTAATGCTTTAAAAAACAGAAATTCATTCTTTCACAATTTAGAAAGCTAAAAGTATGAATTCAGACTGCCACGTCTGGACAAAGGAACTTGTCTCTTTTTATCATCTTTTTGTTGTCTGTAGGCCGAAAATTCTGTGAAAATCTTCAACTGTCATGGCATCAATTATTACCTGGTTCTAGGAATATCACCCAACTTGGAGACCAGTTTATTGAGTTGTGGTGGCTTGGGTATTGTTTTGATGCTGTAAGTTATTTCACTAGTATTTAGAATATCAGTAGGGTCATCCATGCTGTTGTTGTTGTAAGGAGCCAGCGAGTTGATACCGACTCATAGCAACCTTATACATAGCAGAATGAAACACTGCCCAATCCTGGCCAACCACACTATTTTGGTCACACTTGTGCCCGTTAATGTGGCCATTTTGCCATTCTATCACTCTGGGGGTCTTCCTCTTTTTCTCTGACTCACCACCATACCAAACATGATCTCTTTCTCCAGAGACTGGTCCTTCCTGACAATATGTCCAAAATATGAAAGACAAAGTTTGGCCATCCTGGCCTCCAAGCAGCACTTTGGCTGCACTTCTTCCAACACAGATCTATTGGTTCTTTTGGCAGCCCATGACACTTTCAATATCCTCCTCCAGCACCATAACTCAAAAGCATCAATTTTTCTACAGTCTTCCATAATCACTGTCCAGCGTTTATAAGCATATGAGGTTATTTAAAATACCATGGCTTTTGTCAGGTGCACCTTACTCTTCAAGCTGACATCTTTGTTTTTCTGGTGGAAAGCTTTTAGCAGAGCTTTCAGACGAACACAGACTAGGAAGAAGGAGAGTCAGACTACTTTGGAATGTTAGCAAATGCAAACCTTTGAAATAGCAGTGGGGTGCTGTCAGATGGCTCCAAACATTGACTTGTAAGATATTATTAATATCACGAGAATACTACCAGATATAGTGTTGGAAGTTGAGCACCTCAGGTTGGAAGTCACTCAAATGTGAATGGAAAATATATGACTCCACATAGTGAAGTTGACAATGACTATGCAAATGGAATTAATTTTGGGACTTCCATTTGCTTCTGGAGCACAAATCAAAATGGAGAGAAAATGCTACAGATATTCATTAATAATCAGATCATGTAGTGTACGGAAAATGAAACTAGAAGAATTGAAAGTTGTCAAAAGTGAATGGAGAACATAAAGCTTCATCTCTCATAATTTGGACATATTATTAGGCAAGCCCATTACATGGAGAAGAATATTATACTTAGTAAAGTGGAATGTCACTGACAAAGAGGAAGGCCCCAAATGAGATTGACTGACACCATGGCAACAGCAATGGGCTAAAGCATGTCACTAATTGTGAGGATGACAGAGGGCCAGGCTGTGCTTCATTCTATGTGCATAGGAACACCAAAGATCGGCACGTAACAATGATAACAGGAACATAACAGTGCTGGAATACTGGAACCAGAAGATGACCTTATCTCCCAAATCTTCTTTCTTAATGATAGTAGGTTCCTGTGAGTTTGGCTTTGTTGAGTTATGTATAATATCTTTCATATCTTAAATATTATTGATTCAAGATACAACTCACAGAGCGGGACCCTACCCAGAGAAGCAGCGAGGCCCGAGATAGAGGCAGAGACGATGACGTGTAGCCATGAAGCAGCTGGGGACTTTGGATCCAGAGAGGGAGAGGGACTGTGTGCTGAAAAAAGGGGTCGAGGGGGAGTGTAGTGGGCGGGTTTATAGGATATACCCTTTGCTTGGTTGATGATGCATGGAGGGAATTGGAACCATGGCAATGAAAGGATATACAGTGGAATGAATGTAAAACTAAAGTTCTCTCATGTAAAATATCATATAATTCACAATCAAACATGAAAATAAATAAACAAACAAACAAGAAAAAAAAGATAACAATTCACTTCTACAGGTTATAACTGACTTCATTAATATTGCAGAAGTGAGGATAATAACAGCTCAGGATTGATCACATCTGATCAAATCCTAGGAGAGATTACATTATAGTCAATATCATCATGTTGGGTTGCTCCCTCTTAAATGCCAAAACCATGAGAATCCATTAAAAAATTATAGCTATCACAGTTTGTTTTTACCACTTGGTGTTATATAAATTGAGATTTATCTCTTAATATAGCTGAAGATATGCTCACTTATAAAGTTCAAGTATTTCAAATGAGTCTGAAAAAATGTCAAATGAACATAATAATTTGAAATTTATAGATGAGTAAAATGAGTTTCTGATTGTTGTTTTATTTAGCTTCAATCAAATTGATTCCTATTTATGATGATGCCATGAGTACAATCATTCCAAAGGGTTTGCTTACTGTTAATTTTTAGAAAAGTAAATTTACAGGTCTTTACTTTTATGGTTACTCTGGAAGAATCAAAACCACCAAGATCTAGATTACCATTGGTGTGCAAAAGAAAACCATCTGTATCACAAAGGATGTTAGAAATGACCTAAGAGAAACTGCAAATAAATATCAATTGTCCAAGCCGCTATTACACAGATGAGGTAAAATTAAAACCCAAATGGCTCAATTCCAGATTTTCACACTCAACCATTTTAGTGTCTAGATTTCTACTACTTAAATAACTTGGTCAGGCTTTCCGAATCACTACTATTTATTTTAATTTGGCATATTTCAACTGTTTAGGCTTAAAGCAGGTGACACATTAATGGAAAGAAGATGCCCTAAAGATGAGCTTCCTCAAAGCATCCATCATGTCATTGTTCCTCAGACTGTAGATGAAAGGGTTCAGCATAGGTGTAACCACACTGTACATTACTGATGCTGCTACATTATTCCTAGCAGAAAGACTAAGCATGGAGCTTAAATACACCCCAAATCCTGTTCCATAGAACAAGGCAACAACAGAGAGGTGAGACCCACAGGTAGAAAAAGCTTTATACATTCCACCTTTTGATGGCATTTTCAGGATAGAAGAGATAATTTTTATATAAGAATAAATAATCCAAAGGAAGGGTCCACCACCTAAAGTGCTCATCATAAAATAGAGAATGATACTATTGAGGGAAGTATCAGAACAGGCAAGCTTGAGGACCTGAGCAAGTTCACAGAAAAACTGGGGAATCTTCAGGTCTGTACAGAAGGACAGACACAACACCATCAGACCATGGAGCAGGGCATTCAGAATACTAATGAGCAAGGAGAGTAGAATCAACAGACCACAGAGAAGGGGGTTCATGATGACTGTGTACCTCAGTGGATGACAAATGGCCACATACCGGTCATAGGCCATTACAGCAAGGAGACAATTTTCCAAATCTGCAAAAACCAGGACAAACCAGAGCTGGGTGAGGCAGCCTGTGTAACTGATGGATTTGGTGTGTGTCTGAATGTTCACCAGCATCTTGATGACCGTGGTGGTGCTGAAACAGATGTCAGTGAAGGACAGGTTGGAGAGAAAGAAGTACATGGGAATATGAAGGTGAGAGTTTGAGCTGATGGCCAGGATGATGAGAAAGTTCCCAGTCACAGTGATCAAGTATATGGATAAGAACATTCCAAAGAGAAGAGACTGCAGTTCTGGATTCTCTGAGAGGCCCAGGAGGATGAATTCTGCTATTCCTGTTTGGTTCTCTGTTTCCATGTTGTTGATGATTCTGA